ACTTAGACAAATTCATGAAAATTAAAATAAAGGTGCCATCTAAACCAGTAGAGGACTTCAATACACTTGGTGTAACGTCTCCTGGCCACTCCAGAACTACATAAGGTGTACAAGCTGAAGAAGTTAGAGCAGAATTACATTCATTCAAGAAGAAACGAAAGTTGTTAGTTTGAGAATTGCAAAGCCGACTCCTTTACATGTAACAGAAGACCCATTCTCTCCCTTTTCAAGTTCACTGCGAAATTATTTACTGAGGACACAAAAAATAAATAAATAAATAAATAACCGAAACATATAAAAGAACACCCTTTTCCAGGAATTAATAACAAAAAAAGGTACCTATACTGCTAAACCTTCCAACATTGGACAAGAACCCTCGGTCCTTTAGAAAACCCGTAAGCACTACCCACAAGTCTCATATCACTAGCAGTCAAACAAGTATTCAAGACCTCCCAATCCCTCTCTAACCCACCAAGAAACCCCAGCTCTCCGAGTTGGGGCCGAGGCGACTCAATAGACAAAGAACCATCTTTGAGCTTCTACTCAACTGAGACACCATTGTCTTTCTCAATTGATTTCAAGAACCTGAGAGCTCTAGCAAGGTCTTTGTGCTTCACTGCCTACTACTACTCTTGCCACTCTCTCATAGCTCTTATTAGGTGGAGGAGCTGGAAAAAAAATTGAGGAGAAAGAAGAAGTGGGGCGTAAGAGAGAAAGCAAGGACAAGTTCTGTGGGGAAGGGATGAAGCAGAGATGGCCATTTCAGAACTACTTTGCTGCGAACTTCAGAAAACGCAAGGGCTCTTCGTTGATCAGACGTTGTTTTATTATTATTTTTTTTTTTTGGAAAAGTAAAAGGGACATTTATTTATTTGTTTTATAATGCCACGTCAGATTGAAATAGATATTGGGCTTTTGCTGGATTTTGCCACGCCGATCTAACTGAGACCGGCCTACATGAATGGCCCAACCCAATGATACAGGACTAAAAATGATAAAATTGTTAAATATGTTTTTGGGCCCGCGAGGAGTAGATCGATGATGTAGTCAGGTCGAGCCGTTGAGCAGCAATTCGCTACTACACCGACGGCAAGGGCCAAGTCCAGAGGAGATGATTGTCGCACAACTTTGGTATTGGTGGTGGGATGAGTTTTCTGAAGTAAGAGAACCTGAAATATACATATATCAACTTTTAAGTCCTGTTGGCTCCCAAAATTAATTAGAAAGAGAAAATCTAGTTTAAAAAAACAAAGCTTAGGGAAGAGGATGGCGAGAGATGAGGTGATGCAATTGCATGTATATATAAATAAATACGGAATACCAACCAGCAAGGCAGTCGAGAAGGTTGACATGTTGACCGCATCTTACCGGTAATTGTTGGGCTTCCGTCACATTGATGCCTGCCTGCTCGGCTTCACTGCTGCCCTAGCTTGTTGCTTATCAGACTGCACAAGCATTCTGGGTTCGACTTAATCACAGATTTCAGGGGGTCACAACAGCTATCTGCCACCTCTTCATTCCCGTTCAGGTAGTTGAGGCAGGGTGCAAGCCGGTTTAGGCATGATGAGGTGTCTTCACTCTTCAGTCCCTACCTCTGCCACCACCACTAACACCAACGCCAGGGACGGAGTCAGGAAATTTGGGTAGGGGGGGCAAAATTTATTGTTAAAAATTTAAGTTTTTAATAGTATCTTTTATGACACTAATTTTTTTTTTTTAAATCTTTCCCTTTATAAAAAGATTTATTTGTGGCTCTTTTCATTAATGTATTCTTAACAAAAATTAGAAATAAATGAGTTTTTTAATTATAATAAAAACCAAAATATCATAGTAATAAATTATGCAATAATCAATTAAAGAATGAATAAAAAAAAAAAAGAAAAATGTATTTGTTAGTTGAGTCTTTAACAAATTATGAAAGAAAACACTATAAAATTAAATCGTTTTAATAAACTTGAATGGGAAAGGCAAAAACAACATATTTTTTAAGTTAGAATGAGAGTATTTTGATTTTATTAAAACAATGTAATTTTGAAGCGTTTTCCTCTTAATTTCTTATAGATCATATTGATAAACACTAATATTATAAAAAATATTAAAATATTTCTTTTAAAAAATAAATTTTAATTTAGATTGATTTAATAAAAATAAAAGATTATAAATTCAATCCTAAAAGGTAAAAATATACCTTCATGTTAAAAAGAAAAAACTTTAAACTTTTACATAAAATATTAAGAAAAAAAATAAAAGAATACTAAAGAAAACTGTGAATTTAAAGTTATTTAAATAGATAATCAAAGTTTTTTTTGGGCTTAATAGATGAAAAAATGTTTAAGAACTCTAAATCTTAATTAATTAATTGACATAAATTCATTTTACTTGAATTATATCCTTAATTTTTGAAAACCTTTTATTTAGATCCTAAATATTTTCTCTACGTTTGAAATAGTTCTTGAAATTCATACTATTAAAGCGAAATTTTTAATAAGTAAAAGTTAAAGTATCATATTGAATGTTTTTCAAAATCTTAGGGGGGCGGCTGCCCCCCCTTGTCCTTCATTAGCTCCGTCCCTGTATATATGTATGTATATATATGTACTCCTATATATAAGTTGGGCAAAATAATTAATACAGTATGAGCGGGTTAGGAGTTGACGGTGATCCAATTTCTGGCTTTGCTACTTGAGTTTGACTTTCCCTAAATTTATTTATTTGGAAATTAAATATGGAGGAGGGCGGCATTGGCAATTGGATGGACCATGGATAGGTGAAGCTACTACCCAGACGTAAAAATAAGAGAGCACTTGGTGACGTGTTATAGGTTTAGCATAGATGCGCCAAAAATTCACCATAGCAACCCCACCCCCCCATAAGTAATTGAGTATGACCTAACTCTTCTTTATAATCATTATAATAAATAATCGGCATTTTCAATATTATTACTTGTTATATTTTGAATGCATTTTGAAATTTTGAATCAATGAAATTCTGCCTAACTCTGCTTCAAACATCATAAATTCATGCCACCACATTACATTTATTTTCCACAACTACCAGGCTGTGCTGCAATGTTTTTGAACCACATGATTTCCATTCCACGTAGACATTTGTATCATTAACGTAAAATAAACGGTAAGACCCTGTACATCCTATATTTCATTTCACTTTCTTCAAATAAGAATCTACCTCTTGCCCAATCCCTGTGTGGTTAAGTGGTGATTACATTTTTTATTGGGTAGCAGGTGAAATACACCCAATTTTAAAGTTCGACCCTCTTACAAAACAACAAATACTAACACATAATCTAATCATTTCTTTTTGTTAAAAAAAAAATAAAAAAAAAAACTCTACCTCTTGCCAACCAAAAACACAGAAAGATATATAGAGAACATGCCGGGTAATCAAAAAAGGGGAAGAAAAAAGCTACTTCAAAATGAGATAACTGCAAGCTAGTTCACCTGCATTACCTTCTTCAATAGAACTAGAACAATAGGAAAAACAGCAAGGTACTAAGGCCCTTATCCAAAAGCCTTGGGCCAGTCATTATCTACAAAAATAGATAATGTTCCTTGAACGAAAACTCAGAACCACTAAACATGGTATATCATTCCAACTTCAATGAGACTGATGTGAGGGATGTTTAGTGCCACAGCAGGCCCCCTGCAGTTCTTCCGAAGAAATGAATACCCAATGTCAATCACAAGCTTTTTCAAAAATGACGATGATCTTCTTGCCTTCACGTATGAATGACCCATTATGTACGCAACCCCTGCTTCCTTTTCCTGAATCAAATCCATCAGCTCCTCCCTTACCAATGGATCCATACCAGGGTTCGGTGGTAACTGAGATCTTACCCTGCCGCCTCCTAACCTGTGCATTCTCATCATCATATGCAGAACGCAAACTCTGTAGTGTTAAAGACTTGCTGCTTCGGATGGAGTTGCCAACACTAAAATCTTCAACCTCTGAAATCACTAAGCTCGAGTTTGATTGGATGCTTCTGGTGCTTATAACAGCCATCCTCCCATCATACGAGGAACTCTCAGAACCAGAGAATTGAGGCTCTCCTGCTTCCATCTGGATGAACTCTGCTATGCTTTGTATGAGTTGGTTCTCAAAGTCGCCATCATCCTTCTGAATATCCTTGTACCCATATCTGACTATGCACCTATACATAAGATATGGCCTTGGGCAAATCCGACCAATAAGGAAGCGTTCTTCTGGTGAAACATATGGGACTGGAACTGATTTTACACAGACAAAAACTAACACCTTGTGGAATGCAGGCAGGTTAGTCACAAAGTGGGAAAA